TTTTGTGAAATAATATATATATATATATATTATATAATATATATTATATAATTATATTTTATATATTATATAATTATATTATATAATATATATTATATAAATATATTTTCCCTATAGAAAAACCAAGAGCCATTTGCAAACACCTATATCTTGAAATTTTAATCAGGAATCAGAGGAACTTTGGTAGAATTTACCTAGTTCACAAAGGCTCTGAGTCTGTTTTTCTCTGATAAATTTTCTGTCCCCTTTGACATACTTTGTAGCAAGAAAAACTACTTTTTAACAGGAAAGGAGTTTTTAATACAATTCGGATATAGTAAGATATTCTATGTTACAAATTGTCAATGGGCAGGTAGAATTATATTCAAAACCAAAAAGTGTTTTCTGCATCTTGGATGCATTTGCTCTAAATTGTATTTAAATATCCTTTTTTAAAAGTTATGAGAGATACAACTATAATCCAAGATACAACCAATAATAAGCAGTAAAAATGAATGAAAAAAGTTTATTATTTAAAATGGGGGTGGGAATAAATATAAATATTACTGAATGCTCAACTTCCTTCTGTTTGTAGCCCATCTTTTGCCTACAATCTTGGTCAGCTTTCAACTCATAAGGATATTTCTGAAGGTTGTAAAAGTGATCAACTGATGTATACTGAAATATATTAAGAATGTATGTAGTTATCCATTAATTTAAGAATTACTTTTCTAGAACCACCAAGAAGCTGAAAACACCATGATAAATGATAAATAAATTACACATTTACTACTCTCTTTGTTTGCATTTGGCAAACAAAGAACACAGAAAATGTTCCAGACATCTTACTAAGTTCTTAATGGAATATGGAAAAAGATAGCATCTAACTTTAAGGCAGAAGGTAATTCCCTATTTCGAAAGCACTTTGCTCTTCACAAGGGGCAGGGGATGCAATTCTGCAAAGAACTGCTTGCTTTACCTTGAAATTCCCCCGAATTTCCCCTGAAATTAAACATATGCAGTGCAAGTGCATGTCCAAGTTATATGTCTAGTGTTTTTCTAATAAAAAATTTAATCTATTGGAGCAGCCCATTTTGTAAAATCCTGGTTTTACATGGACCCCCAAACTCCATATATTTGGTACAATTGTTTTAAAAACACTTCAACAATGTTGGAACTATTATCATTAGTGTCTCCACTGCTACTTCAAGATGTTATTGCTTAGCTTTTCAAAAGCAAACAAATGCAACAATACTGCTAAGCTTCAAGAAATTTGTACAGAAATGTTCACATTGCCTTTGAAAGCCTTTAAATCTCTGAACCACAGCAGCATGAGCACCGCTCAGAGTGCAGTACTGCCCCAAAGTCAGTCACCCTTTTCTACATGTGCTAATAAGTTTGATTTTGGAAGGACAATGTGTACATTCCCCAGACAGGCAAAGCGGGTGTGAAACACGCTAGTCCACGCTGAGCTACTCAGTGAGCTTCAGCAGGGACAGGACAAGCTGAAAATGGCTCTCATCTGTCTTGTGGTCTTTGAGACAGAGCATTAACTCCTTCCCTACCAAAAAGGGGTACTGATTTTGATAATGGTACATCAATAAAGGAAAGAAAATGTGAAAAATAACAAATTCATTTTATTGAAAGAGTATCAGAGTTGCACACATTAATTGGATATCATAATTGCTGAAAACCAGGGGGTTAAGGCTCTCAAGGAAAACAACGTTTTCCAATTGCCATAATATTAAATCTCGAAACAACATAACTCATGCAGCATATTGTCCTTCAGTGCAATCAAAAACAAAATTAGAACGTTTTACCATACAATCAGCGCATATGCACAATTGCAAAATAAACACAGAGATACTTAGCACTGTAGAAATCACGTTCATTAAAAAGTACTTCTGTTTCAATGCTTAAAAAAAAGGGAAGGAATGAAGGAAAAAAAGAGAAAAAGCTGAATGTCCCCTAAGGAGTTAAAACAGGACTACTATATTTTCATGCATCTCCTGCTTTGACAGATGAAAAATGTCAACTGTCCTGTTTTTATTTTCAAGCTTTTGCACTATTCATCTGGTTCATTAGTGCATCTTGCTGCTGCCCCTGACAGCTGCTCGCCCTCTCCTCCCAGCAGCTGAATTTTTCAGGCTAATTTGATCCTCCACACTGAGACGATCACGAGAATGATTGACTTGCTCCCTGACCTCCAGGGTCTGACTTTCCTGATTAGTATTCTAGGGGTGTCTGAGGGACGAAAGCCCACTGTCTGTCTTCAGGGCTGGTGGCAATGCTCTCCCCACCACCTCTCTCACTCACTCTCTTTTTTGGGGGGAAACTGTAAGCCACCAACCTACGACCCTGTAAGGATGCAATTACTGTGCTAACAATAAAGAAAATGTGTAATATCTACTTTTCCATGTAAAGGTCCATGTAGTGAAAGCATGGCATGTTGGTTTTAATTAGTAAAGTCTACCTTGTTGCATATCAATTAACACAGGGTGATTAGAGTGTTTTGGATGGCTTTTCTAAAAAACAGTTCCAGAATATTTGAAAGTCTAATTTTCTGACTGTAAAATGAACCTTCAACAACAACAAAAAAATGTAAGTAGTTAAGGAAAGAGAGCGATTTTTAACAAACTGTAAAACCAGCCTTTTCCAATCTGGTATCTTCCAGATGTGTTGTGACTTCAACTTCCAGAATTCCCAAGCAGCAACTCCAGGAGTTGCATTCTGAACACATCTGGAAGGCAGCAGGTTGAGGAAGTGATACACCATAGAACAGCAGTGAATGGAAAGTAAATTTCATTTTAGATTCAGTTAAAGTCCAACCAAACTGCCAGATATTAATATTCAAATAAAGCATTAACTGAAGAATGATTTACTGGGAAGCTACGTAATCTTTTAGGAAAATCTCATGTACATGCTACAAATTTTCCTACTGCTAATTTGAAGAGAATATAAACCTATGGAACTAATGTAAGTTGATTAGAAATCATTAAATGCATTTTATGTTGGACATATTGAGCAAGGCAAGAGTAAATTTAAAAATTCAATCTGTATCATAATTAAGTTGCAATATTCGTGCTTTTCTATCCCACTGATGTTATTGTACCTACACTACAATAAAATCTTACTATTCTGTGAACTACCCTACAATTACTTAATTTTTATTACAAAACTAAGGGACCACAAGTTTCTGCTATTTACCGATACAACAGCTGAATGGATTTTGAGTGAGTAAAAACTGAGGGAGTAAAATAAAATTATAATCATTAATAACATTAATATTGTACTAGTTAAGATGCAACATCACATTTCTTTATCATTTTGCTGCATAATATGCCATTAATATGCCCCGATACTTGCTAAATTGCAAATCTAAAGAGCGAACAGCATCCTATTCTTAAGGCAAGTAGAAAAATTAAATTCTTTAAAACATGATCTTACTACATAATTATAATTCTCTGTCAAAAACTTAGGCAACATGATAACTGTAAGAAAGGAAAGAATAATGTAAATACAAATCTTAGTTACTAATTTCACAAATAGCAGTTATACAAATAGCAGCATCACAGAAAAAAGGAGATTTTTCTAAAAAAACCCCCTAATTTAAAATATATAAATCTCCAAAGGAATTCTCTCATTAAGTTTTTATTTGATTATTGAACATGTCTTGGTAAATAATCCAAACTACACATTAAACAGAATATGCATCCATATTACATTTCAGTAAAAACCTTATCTCATTATTAAATTCTACCAATTCTTATGTCACACAGTTAGATTTATTTTATGTCAAAAAAGGATGAAAGCTTTAGGACAAAGTTATTTTTATAACACTCCTTCACACTGTTTTAAAAATGCATTTTATGTATATTCACAATACCAATACAAAAGAAATCTTAAATATCAACTTGTTCCAATGGGTTTCCCTGTAGGTGCTAGAAAAGTTGCTTTAATGGACCTAATGCAGAGGAATCTATTTAAAACGAAACCACAGTATAATTTTAAGAATTCAATCATCAAGTGGTAGTTGAGATAAGCTATTATATACAGGGGTAAACTAAACCAAGTGTCCTTTCTTTCTGTCTCTTACTTTGTATGAGTCTGAGAGAGGATAATCATTTTAGCACTGAATTTTTTTTTAAGAAAGTGCTTGTCACAGTATATAAACAGCTCAAAAAATCCTAATATTGTAGGGGGGGTTTTGATACAGAGCTTTAGTGAATTCTGCTGAATCGCAATGCAATTTTCTAGAGCACATTTGAGTAGAAGATTTGCAAGCCAGCAGATAAAACTTTTAGAGGTAGTTAGAGACATCCAGAAGGATTTGGTAGAACTTGGTTATCTTACTGATCTCTGTATAATTAACATTTTACAGGCTAGAATTCCAACTAGCATACTGCAAGCCAAATGAAGGAATATCTGTTCCTGGTATTATTTTTCTATAGCTCCTTTAGCTCTGTATTAAAGTATTAATGATTTTGTGTTTAATCAGCTATAAACAAACGGGCAGCCCCTGATATACCATATAAAAAGGACAGAATACCAGTTTCCCAAGCTACAGTCAGGCTTAGCAAAGTTTAAAGATGCTATACTTTAAGATTCACAAAACAAGAGTTTAATAATTAATGAAATAACAGATGACACTACAACTGTTGGTTCTATTACAAGCCTGGTATCTCCATTTCATGTGGGATAAAGTTTTTAATTTCAAATTGCTAACTTAGCAGCTATCCTTGATACTGAAAGATGAAGACCTTGAAAGAGATCATTTCTAAGGAAAGGTGTGATGCATTTTGAGAAGTATATGCCCAAATTCTTACAAATATTTGTGTTACATTCTCTTTATATTTTGAACTAAGGCACATGTGCAATTTTCACCATGCATATCTGCATACTTTCAGCTAGTACTGATTTAAAGAATGAAAATTCAATAGAATCGTAACACAAGTAGAAAAACATTTTCATCAACAAAACACATCAACAAATTATTCTTATTAAAAGTTGTCAGTATTACCTCATATAACAGACATCCTAGAGACCAGATATCTGATTTGAAGTTATACCCATTTTCATGTATTCTCTCTGGAGACATATAATAAGGTGTTCCCACTACAACAAATATAAATACATAATACACAAAAAATTAAATCAACTTTAAATAATGTATATACCAACATTTGCCTTGAAAATTTACTATTCAATGTTTAATTACAAAAGGGTAAACTTAAGTAATGGAAAAATTATTCCAAATAATTTAAATGTTCTTTTATAAAATTAATTTCATGATAACCCATTTAAGTAATAATAAAGTTTTCCATAATTATTAATAAACTCAATTTTTAGTAATTTAGCAATTTAAGATTACATTAATTAATATTATCAATGTTGCAAATCACAGACTGATGGAATTCTGTATTAATATGTTTTATCTATGCAGCCTTTGTTAAATAAAAACAAATATTAGTTTCATAACTAAATGGTTTCTCATTTATTTTTATTTCCTTCACTGAATGAAACTAGTTAACATGATTTTACTACATCTACATCCTGTCTTAAAAGTATATCCAACAACCAATCCCATCTTTACATTATTTAAAATGAGCAGAAAAATGCTGTTTCTATCATAATCAATAAAACTTTTAAAAGGAAGTGGCATCCTCATGTTACTAAAGCAAATATTTTTTAAAGTCTTTTTCCTAAAATAATGGGTTTATGGGTTATGTGTGTCTGTCTGTCTGTCTGTCTATAACACCTTTTAAATCATTCTAATATTTGCCAATTCACTAAATTTAACTAAAACAAAAATTAACTGCAGTTAACAGAAACAAAAGAGGAAATATAAGATACATATAAAAAACAGGAAAGTTTAGTAAGGCATGTATCATCCTGCTCTAAGAAGTTATGATTTTTTTTTCTAATTAAGTTTTATTGTTGCTTTCATTTCATTCAGATATACCATATTTGAGAGAAACCTCTCCCAGGAGGAGAGCCTTCTCTGTCACTGCCCCCGCCCTTTGGAATATTCTCCCCCCAGAGGTGCAGCAGGCCCCTATCCTCCCAGCTTTCCAGAAAGCATTAAAGACCTGGCTATGCCAGGTTGTGTGGGGTGATATATATCTTACCCAATACTGGGGGTGGCTGGCACCTTGATGATGCTCCCTGAGTGACTGCCAATTTTATATCTATTCTGGGAACTATTTTCTATTTATTAAGAGTATTGTACATTGTAATTTTAATTGATTGTAAGAGTTTTGTAAACTGCCCAGGATCATTTCAACAAGATGGGTGGTGACAAATTTGATATATAAATAAATAAAATAAAAATAATACCTCTACTCTATCTTAACAGTATGACAATTTACATGCCAGTCTCCATACAATCAATGCAGGAATGTATGATCCAAGCACATACCCACATAGGTTTCCTTACATGGTGAATGTACACAGGGTAATAGCAGGAAATCTTGACGTGAAGAGATCTCCACCTGCTTTGGATCCCACCTCACCAATAAACACATTTCTTGTAGAAACAGTACAGTCTCTACAATATGTTGCATTAATCAAGCACTCAAAAGCAAAAGTAAAGACGGCCACATTTGAAAAACTAGATTGTTTTGTAAAGTAATCTATTAACAATCCCATTCAACAAGAGTGCCATCGCAATCAGTCATTACAAAAACAGCTTAATTTTGAATGAGCATTTTTCAATCCATAGTAAATGAACTTGATTTACAATTAAACATATTTTAATCTATACCAACAGACAACTGAAATTCTTTAATTAAAAAATACATCAAACATAAGGTTTGCTGCATACACTCTGGATATGTATAATATTAACTTCTACATTTAATTATACACACAGAGAAAACTTTCTGACCTAGAGAATGTGCAGCTGTGGTTTTAGAGCTGAAAAATCTTCCCAATCCAAGATCTCCAAGTTTTACTACTCCTGTAGCAGTAATGAATACATTTGCTGGCTTGATGTCTGTAAGGAAAAAACAAAGAACTGTACTATATTTTTAACAGAAAAGAAACCCACAATTTGCAGCATTATCAAGTATTATTGTTTGATCAATTTTTGTTTCCTTTTTTTAAAATACAACAAAAATATTTTAAAATTATGAACTGTTATCTGTGACAAGTAGTATTCCAACTTCATGCACAGCTGAATTCAACATGCAAGTTACTAATTAACAATAAATATGTTTATGACTGCACTAGTTTTAGGCTGAAATCCTCTATCCACTTTTGGGGAATAAACACTATGAATTCAGCAGGACTTGCTTCTGAAAAGATATGCACTGAATTGGATAGTTCTGCACAGTATATTCTATAGATAGTGAAAAAATAATGCTCTGTGGGTGGTAACAATGACTTTATTAACCATGTTATCACCTGAAAAAAAAAATAGTATCATGGTGGTTATAAGAACTTTCTTGTTGCTTTTTGTTGTTGTTTAGTCGTTAAGTCATGTCCGACTCTTCGTGACCCCATGAACCATATTGCGCCATTCTTGTTGCTGGACCTATTAAAATAATCCATTCCCTGAATGTTCTGGGAGATTTCTACAACTTCTTTGGGCTGCCAGCTATGTTGCTGAATGTTTGAATAAGGAGTTGATATAGGGGTTGATATAACAGCCTAACCCATTTTGAAACCAGATTATGCAAAGGATTGTCTTCTCTGTGATTATTCTAGCTGTCCACTCAGATTAACAGAAGACACTTTTCTGTCACGTTCTGAACATAGTTGCTTATGTCCAGATATGGAACACTCGGGACTTCTGTTTGGCAGCTACCTTAATGATAAAGCAGGATCTAGACCAAGTTGGTTTAATATGAAAACCTTAAGTCATAATGAGGCCATCTTACTGATGTCAGAGAGAAGTAAATTTATCTAACCTGTTCTAGATCCACTCCAGTGACTTTCAACCTCACTAATATGTATAATCTACACATCTCACTGTCAGAAATTATTTGCTCTTATGTTTATACTATTTAAAAAATATTTAAAATGGAATGGGAACTCTTAAGTGACGAACAAGGATGGAATATGCATATTTAATATATATTCAGCAACAAGGTACTCCTATTTCAAAGGCTGGAGCTCATATTCATCTTGGTTATCCAAGAAACAGAAGGAACTACAATCCAAAAATGGTGAAAATTTTCAAACAAATTTTACAAAAACAAACTACAGTCCATTTGAAGGCCTATTCTAGGAATGGAGAGGAAATCTTATTTCATTCAATCACTGTGACTATATCATACTTTCCAGATAGGTAAATGAGTTATTACAACTTAGACTTAGCACTCATCGTATTTCTGTCCTTGGTGACAGTTAGCTAAACTGTTGGTGGATAAAATTGCTCACACCCATGCTGACTTAGATGAAATTTCTGTACAAGAGCAATCCATGAATAAGCTACCTTTAAATGAGTATTGACTGAGATGCTACAAAAATGCAAACCTTGGAAAGGAAGCACCCTCTAACCAATATGAACTTGAGCCCTACCAATCTGGGTTTGACTGGACCACTAGGAAAGAACCAGTCAGGCTGATATACCTTATTAAGAGGGGATGATTCTTACATCCTTCAAAAAGACAGAAGCAAGGTTTTTTTATTATTATTTTTTAATTTTAGTAGACCCATATGTGAATAACTAATGATTAAATTACATTCAGCTATTCCTCAGGATGGCCATTAAATGTCGATATCATTTTGTTTTGTTTTGTTTTTAGAGCCAAATTCATATAGGTGGTTCTTCTGTTTGGATCTTGGACAAGAAGTTCAATTATTCAAATAACACAAGCATAATTTTTATAACTTAATTAAGAAATCGGAGAGATTTCTAAAATTGAATTAGTTTTATTTTCAACCAGCAGTAACTGATATTTGCACTTCAGTTTGTCATACTGTCGTATTAAAATCCTACTGACTGACCAGGAATAAGATTTCCTGAAGCAAAGTATAATTACTCAATATGCTACAACTGTCCTTAGTTGATTTCTCCACCATGACTTTAGATGATTTCTATATAATAAGATTTTTAATAAGCCCAAGATATAATGTTAAAATCTAGCCTCACAGAACTTATCAAATGTTCTCCTGTACTTCATAATTCGGCAGGCCAATAAACAGAAAAGTTGTTTCCTACACATTTTTAGTTGGAAAACACAATTCTAAGAAACTTGAGATGGGCCAGTCTGCTATACATGATGCCTCACTGGTAAAGTTGGGCCTGGGTTTTCTGCCACCATCCAGGGCACCAATGACAAGGAAAAGACAAGGCTTGCTGCATCTCTGGCCAGTGAAGGAGCAGCTAGAGGTAGCATGCTTCCATTCTTCCTGCAAGGAAGAAAAGTTTGATCTAACTGCCAGTTGCAATAGGACTACAGAGCCCAAAGAGGTATAATCTGGCCTCCATCCACCAGTCACAGAAACAGTAAAAAGGGTTCCTGGATTTTGTATGCGTGCATATGTTTGCAGAGACTGGAGTGTTTCCGTTTTGGAAGCATTACCGGTTTTGTATAGGCCCCCCAAGAAGCATGTAATCAAAGGGAGGGTACAAATCTTTAAGATAAAAATAAACATCTACCACACATAAAACAGCATGCATATGAATGTAGATTACTCATTTTAATTCACATGATAAATTCAAATGATATTATAAACACACACACACACGTAACTGATTGAGCAGCTGATATATCTCATAAAAAAATAAACAAATGTAACTAGAGAATAGAGAATATGTTAATTATTTTTTTTAAATTACATACGTAAAAATGTATCTTACTTATCTATCTTAACAAATAAGAACAACTGGAAGAGGCCATCACATTCTTTTGCAGTTCATGTAATATATACTTCCGTCCCGACAGCTGTACTACAGCAGTTGGGGTGAAATGCAATTTAAGTTACCTCGATGCATGACACGCCGGGAATGCATATGTTCCAAGGCACTGCACAGCTGAACAAAGTACTTCCAAACTGTCCTTTCCGGGATCAGCCTCTTCTGCTTCTTAAAATGCTTTGAAATAATAAAATAAAATAATACTGCAATCTGGATTTGTTATTCAAGTAATGAAGCAGAAGATTATTAAAATGAACAAGCCTTCAGCTTTTCAACCCAGAAATCATTAACACAACTGAGGAGGCAGGACCATGTTTAACAAAGAGAGAGATGGTTCCCGAGGGATGTGCTTTCCATGAAAAGAACAAGAGTTGAAGAAAACAGCTTGGACGAAGGGAAAGACTGATAGGTCAAGATGAGACTGGAAACTTATGTGTAACTTAAACTGAACCCTTACTTTCACAAGTGATAATCCCTCATTTGGTTAGGTCTGCCTTCTCCCCTCTTCCTAATAATGAACATAATTAGATATTAGATCATGGTTTAGAATAATATGAATGAGACAGAGGAAACTTCAGGCTCACACCTTCCCCTCCTGGTGCATTCTTTCAGTACAACTGCATGCAAGAAATAAGAAGTCGCTGCTTCAATTTTTTAATTAATCATAATTTAATATTGTTTCTGAATCTTAAATTGCAATTAATCTTAATAATAATTGGTTGAAATGACACAGTTTTGTTGCCCCAATTCTTCTTTGTTATATACATTTAAAATCTATATTGCCCTTTCTCCAAGAAATATACATGGGTTTGCTCCAGTATTTTCCTCTTAACAACCCTGGAGGAAAGCATAAGCTGAAAGAAAATTGCAAGTGAAACTCTCCGTGTACAAATACCAAAGGGATTCTCAATAGGTAATATTTAAAGTACATCTAGCTTGGCAACATGTATGTATATATGCATATGTACACATATTAAGCAAGTGCATCAGAGACAGCTAAATGCTGAAAGATCAGATTAACTCAAAAAGTTAAGCTAAGATAGGGCTATTAAAGGAGGCCAGTCTGAAACTGAATCCTCCAGAAGCTTTACTTGTGATTCAGAATTCAGAACGACACAGAAGAGTATCTGCGAAATATTTTCCTCAAATCTTCTATCAAGAAAATGCCAACAAAGAAAAATTTGAAAGTGGGAGGATGAGATTTAAGACTATAAATCTGATCTAAGGTTTACTCAGGACCTTCAGTGACAGTATTTCAGCAAAGATTATTCCAGAGTTCAGTGATGTTTCCAAAAAGTTTTATAGGAGTTTGTAAGAACCATGAGGATACTTGATTGCTTGGAATGGCTGGATGTTCATATCCTTTTGCTGCTCTCCATCCATCATTCAAGTTATCCTACTCTGCTTTCTGTGACTTTGGCATTTACTGAGAGAAGCACAAAGAGCCTTGAACTGTTTTTATTCATCATAATTCGCTTGTCCCTGCACCTGGTGTAGGCCAGATCATAATAGGAGAGATCAGCAATCTACGAATTGCATTTTGGACCCTCTTGCTTCAAAAACAAGGAGTTTTCACTCCTGCCCATCAATTTCTTTCTTAACCAATTAAATAAACCAGGCTTTGATCATAATCCAGATCTGGACACAGGTATTACTGGTAGTTTGACCAAATTAGCTTTTGAAAGGAATCTCGTTAGCCTGGCTTGTGGCAAATGAAACATTTATTAGTGGATAACAGAAAGAGTAATAGGGAGAAAGTTTCATGCAATAGGAAACAGGCAGGGAGGTGCAATCCTGAAACTTGTTTTTCACCCCTCAATTGCCATTTGAGAGAGTAAGAGAGTGATATTATGGCTGCACTTTCCTTAAGACAGGCAGTAGCATAAAATATTTAAAAGTATTTTATATTTATTTTAACATTATTTCCTCTTACAATTTTTAAAAGCTCAAATGAGGCAATTAAATGCCAGTTCCCTGAATGTGCCATTGCTGAGACCTGGATTGAATCCAAACAAATTCTGTGAACTGTTGTCCCCATAGCTGAAATTTGCATATCAGAGAATTGTTTGATGTTGACAAGAAGACAGAGACCAGAATTCTTTTTATATACGAATGAATACACAGCTTCAAGTATATGAATATAAAGTGTACTTCTTTGTTTTTAAAATTATCCCTGAAGATTTCAGCATGTACTTCTAAACAAACTTCCCTAAAAATAACAACCACTTACAAAATGCTTACCTATCTGGATATCCCATCCTTTGCTTACATCTTTAATAGTACAGTATGTACTTATTTGTATTTTGTATTTGTATTCTGCTTCACGTTTCTTTGGGTTGGGACACTGCATGGAATGCAATCACCATTATTACCACCACTCAAAATTTGCTATGGTAAATTTCCATTGTGGTAACTCTGTTTTACCAGTCATATAACAAAAAACAACAACATCAAATATCCATTGGTTAACCAAATATCCAAGTCATCATTTGCCTGACTTGAATGGAAAATGTTAAAAATAGATCTGCATGGCTACTTCTCTCATCTGCAAAAAGTAGCCGTTGCATCAGGAGACAAAATTAATTTGACCCAAAGGAGGCAATTTCATGTTCCTTGAAAGCAGGATGGAAAAGGGCTTTTTTCCTAACCTGAAGCAGAGACTAGAATTTGAGTAGCTTAGTGATGCAAAATAATATGGACATTAGTGCATACAATATTAGCATGTAGAGGTAGTCCTCGCTTACCACCACTCATTCAGTGACTCCTTCAAAGTTGTGATGGTGCTGAACAAGGAGACTTATAGCTGGTCCTTAAAGTTGTGGCCATCGCAGCATCCCCGCAGTCATGTGGTCGCGATTCAGGTGTTTGGCAACCAGCGCCCATTTACAATGGTCACAGCATCCCACGGTCACGTGATTGCCATTTGCGACCTTCACTGCTGGCTTCTGACAAGCCAAGTCAATAGGAAAGCCAGCAGGAAGTTGCAAGTTGCAGTCACATGACATCATGCTTAATGACTGCATGTGATTCACTTAATGACTGGAATTGCCAGAACTGCCATCGTAAGTCAGCGCAGACATGTGATTTTTTGCTTTATGACCGTGTCACTTAGCAACAGAGTTCCCAGTCCCAATTATGGTCATTAACTGAGGACTACCTGTATTTCCCTCTTTGAACTTGACTCAGTACTAGTGATGCAGGTAAGAGGAATTCTAAACTGATTGAGCAGAGACAACAGAAAATTTAGCTTCACTAACTGAGGCAACATAAAATTTAAATTAATATTTATTTATAACATTTACAACAAACTTACCAACTGACTTTATGAAATCTCTCTTTGTCTCTGTTTTAATTAAAGATAAAATTAACTGCATCCAATAAAAACAAATAGGCATAGAGCACCACAATAGAAAAATCCAGAGTCTGACCTCATAATGTGCTATATAGAGTTTAGTAGAAGTTTAACAGTGGAAGGCATACTTTGTATGCAGATGGTGTTATGTTTGACTCCTGCTCACAAGAAAGAGCTGGAAAAGGGATCATGGGAGCAACATTCATCCTTGACACTACTAGATTCTCTCAAGAACCTCCAATGTTTCAATTTTTAAAAAGTAAAAAAACAACAACAACCAAACAACCATAGCATGATGAACAGTGAAAATGATTGGAGAATTGTTGTAACTCTGTTATTAAGATATAGTAACATGATACGATATAGTAAAACAGCTCCATTTGTAATGCTAGGAGCTGGAAACTGAGTGGTCAGAGATTTAGAATAAATGGTGGTAGGTTACTTCCTGACCTAGCACATCATTGGATTACACTATTTTCATAAAGCGTAGTGCTGACCTTTGCATGAGGGGCACAAGAGCAGCTTGTTATGTTTGTATCCCGCTTATAGACTTCCTATAGATATTTGGTTGACTGCTATGGGCACAGAATCCTGGATTAGACAGCCATTGATCTGTTCTAGCTCAGAGATTCTAATGTGAGAAGGAAGAATCTAGCTTTCTGATTTTGGGTAACTCCAAAGAGTTCTTCATGGTGTATTTTTAGATATTATTTATTTGAATCATTTTGGTATTGAAAAAAGAAAAGCTACCCTAATAAACAAAATACTTTTTAATAAATACATTAAAACGAAATAGTTAAAAATCATGCAATGTATCATAGTTAGGAACTGTAACAAAAATCTCAGAATCTAACTGCAGAAGAAGACACTTCTGTTGGTGATGCCCCATGAACTCTCCCACAAACTAGAGGAAGTGTTCTTCTAGAATGTACGGTTCCAATGCTCTTACAATCTAAGAAAATAAGAAACACAGAATATATACTTCAGTAGGTAATTTTGGCAAAATTGAATAAGTTGTTTCAATATGGTTAGCTTTCTTATTCAGTGCTCTTCTGCTTGGTTGGAAACAGCTTTTTTGTTAACAGAATATGGTTTCCTCTCATAAAGGTTACGTGATTTTTAGGTGTATTTGTAACTTATGTGCTGGCCAGAGTCTTTTTGGAGTTGGACAGCTAGAACAAATCCAATAAATAAATTAAAAAATGGTAACTTTGATTTTAAGCTAACACTTTTGGAAGAAGAAAGCATATTAATGGCACTTGACAATGAAGTACTGTAAACCATTCTTGTGAAAAGCAAGAATATCCCAGGAAGTACATTCCATCTGTCACAAGCTTTGAAAGGCAAGCTGGAAACCCAGAACACTGTGGGTTACTTAAGGGGCCTTTTTTAACCTGACACCTTGCAGATGTGTTGAGGCTTCCTATTTGGAGAATACCAGATCACAGAATACTGGTTTATCAGGACTAAGGAAAGCAGGCAATTTAGAGAAACCAATTTCAGTGAGGATATGCTGAGAGTTCTAAACAAGAACAAGAGTTCTTCTTACTTAAGAAAGGGGGGAAAATATGGCATTTTAGACATACATTAACTGAGCTTTTCTTTAGTTGGAACCCAGAAGCATGTGCAGGGGGGACAAGGGGGATCAAATTGGGAATAGCATTGTGGCATGAGCCCCATTCTTTTTCTGTGTGCTTTGTAACATTGCACAGACACCTCCGAAAGGGTGAAACTTGCATTTGCAGCACCACTATTGCCATTCTGACCAAAAGAGGAAGGTTGTTATATTAAGAGCACCAAACAGGTGGGCAAATGTTTCTTTTAG